TAGCCTCACTGGCGACATTCTTTGTGCTTTGTAATCTATTTTTTAGTACTGAATTTTTAAATGTGAGGTGAACATTCTTAAAATAGCAATAGTTATAGCACTTAGACTCTCAGTGCACTCTCTAAGCGGTTTACAGAGTCAGCCTATTCAGTGGTGGTCAGAAGAGGTAGCTATGTTTTTGTGGCCCAGGCCCAGAGTGGACTTCCGGAAGTGGCATCCACACAGAGAACCGGTTGTTCACATATTTGAATTCCACCACTGATCCTATTGCCCCCCCCCCGACAATCTGGGTCCTCATTTTACCGACCTCAGAAAGATGAAAGGCTGAGTCAACCTTGAGTCAGTCAGGATTGAACTCCTGATTGTAGGCAGTGAGTTAGCCTGCAGTACTGCATTCTAACCACTGCGCCATCATGGTGTGAAATAGTCCCCTCATAGATTAATATTTGACAATCTTCTGTTCTTTCCATATTTGTAATGTTAAGGGCTCTTTGTATACAGGTAGTCCTCAACTCTCAGCCACAATTGGGATCAGAATTTCCTCTGCTAAGCAAGACAGTTGTTAAATGACTTGTGCCCAATTTTACAACCCTTTTTGCTATGGTTGTTAACTGAAGTTACTAAGTCACTGAGGTTGCTAAGTGAATCATGTAATTGTTAAGCAAATTGTTAAGCAAATCTGGTGTTCCCCATTGACTTTTCTTGTTGGGAAACTAGCTGGGAAGTTTGCAAATGGTAGTCACATGACTGTGGGATGCTGCAACCAAAATAAATACATTTAAGTTGCCAAGCACTCCAATTTTGATCCTATGACTTGGGGATACTGCAGCAGTCATAAGTGTGAGGACTGGTCATAAGTCTATTTTTCGTAGTGCTGCTATAACTTCAAATGGTTGCTATAGCAATGGATATAAATCAAGGACTACTTGTAGTACAGAAATAGCTAGATGTACCCCACAATCTTTCCCATACACATAGTCTATTTTCATAACACAGCAGATGCTTGCTAATTTGTTAAAGCTAATTTTCTTTAGGATTACTTTATTCTAGTAAACTGAATATTTGAATCACAGTCTTACTTAGCACCTGCCTCATTAAGTGTTTTAGTCTCTAATGCTGACAGATTTCCTATTTTCATTTTGCTTTATTCCGAAATGATTTTACGGTTGCTCTAAACTCCTTGGAATTTTCTATAATAAAAAACTAGCAAACCAACAATCCATTATTATCTATTAAAATTACCTTTAATGAGTAAACCTATTAGTTAGAAATAATTTTGTGTAGTTCAGTATTAACTGCTTGCCTCTGAAAGTGGTGCAGTTATGTTTGTTAGTGGTTTGAAGCGAAAGATGAAACACAATTTCCTGGCAAAGGACTAGATTTGATGAAATGGATAACAAATTATTTTAAAATAAACTTTTAAATGAGGTACAACACTCCTCTGCAGTAGTGGAAGTGTTTCTATTATATCCTTTTTCATTAAAAGATGAAAAGGAAGACATACTGTCTGTTTTCAAAGATATTCTTTGCGAGAAAAATCAGAGACAAGCAACAATCAGAGAGAGTATGGAGTTGGACTAGAACAGGGGTAGGCAACCTTGGCTTTTTTATGACTCGTGGACTTCAACTCCCAGAATTCCTGAGCAAGCATGGCTCTGCTTGGAACCTCTCCCTTTTCTCTCAGCATGGCTGGCTCAGGAATTCTGGGAGTTGAAGTCCACGAGTCATAAAAGAGCCAAGGTTGCCTATCCCTGGACTAGAAGACCTCCAAAGTCCCTTCCAGCTCTATGATTCTATGAATAGTCTTTCCTGGAGAGAAACATGGCTGGATGAGGAATTCTGTGAGTTGGAGTTCAGACATTTTAAAGATGCCAAGGTTAAAAAACACTTCTGTAGCTGGTCTTCTTTATCAACTGCTAAAGATTTATGTATTTGTGTTAAACCCATAGACTTCTTTTCGTGGGCAAATTCAAATACTCAGAGAGAATTTTTCTTTTTCAAAGCTGATAGAAAAAAAGCAAGCTCCCAGAAAAAAAAAAGACTGCAAATGACCAGCTCTCTGAAAGGAGTATAAATCCTTCCATTCCCCACCATTCGGTCAGAGCTGAAGAAGCTTCTTGGATGAGAAGTGAAACGTCTTCAAAGAGAAACAAGAAAGTCCAGTTGTCTCGTGAAAAAGGGTCTTTGGGACAACCATGATCCGGATGACTGAGAAATGATGATGATGATGATGATAGAGTTGGAGGAAACCTTGGAGGTCTTCTAGTCCAACTCACTGCTCAAGCAGGAAACCCTACACCAATTCAGACAAATCTCCATAACATCAAGCACCCAGAGATTCTCACTTATCCCTGACATTTTTTATGCTTATATGTACTAGTTCCCGTCATTCATGTTCTTATTTTCACATTACGTGGAGCAGGTTCCCCCAAATCCTTTGTGGTGATGAAAAGAACACAGCCACATTGTGGAGAGCTAGTCAGCTGCTGCCTGGAACACAATCCATGGGGCAACCATCTAATCAACCTTCCATGGCTATTGCAATGGGTGCAAAGCTGGGAATTTTGGGAGAACATCTGGAGAGCCCTATGGAAGGAATGTCTGCTTTATGCTTTGGGCGCTGTTGATTTCTATTGTGAAGGTTGTTTCTACCTGGGCACTTCTGCCTACATCACAACATCTTAGCTCATAATGTGACTCTAAACGGAGAGACTCCTGGCAGTCATGCTTTGGACTGTCCTTGCGTTGCCTTCATCTTGTTAGCTTCCTGGAACTGAGCCCATCTCTTAATGAATTTACCTCTCCCATCCCTTAATGAATTTTCCTCTATTGGGGGCCTCTCAAAGATTGCTGCACTTTGAAGAAACTGCTTAGTGTGTGAGTATCCCAGCCCTGGGTGTCCTTTCATTCTTTCTTTTTCTTTTTCCTTTTTAACAGTATAGTCCTTTCCCTGGAGCTGCTGCTCTTCTCTATGTCTTCTTCAGTTCTTTGATAATTCCCAGCCTGCTTTCTCCCAGCCAGCCCTTCCTGTAAGCACTTGGCCCATGGCATCATCTGTTCTCCACTTTAGTAGGTGGGTCCTTTTAATTAGAGATTTGCAAACTAATGAGGGAATTGCTCCGTGTTGAGAGGCAACATTAGCTTCCCAGGGTTGTGCCTGAGACCCTTAGGAAGAAGAAAGAAAGGAATGGTCGTATGGTGGATTGGAATTGTCCAGATCGGGATTTGCCCTCCAGGTGTGTTGGGAACAAAATGTACATTGTGTAAATAAGGGGAGGTGTAGTTCAAAAACATCTGGAGAACGTCAGGTTGGGGAATTCAAATGTCCTGAATGAATCTATTGGTAAAACCTTCAGTTTTATTTTTATTTTCTACCCCACTACCTACAAGGTGGTATCTTCCAGATATGTTCAGAATACTCAACCTACTTATCTTTGGCCTAAACCAAGAGTAGGCAACCTTGGCTCTTTTATGACTGGTGGACTTCAACTCCCAGAATTCCTGAGCCAGCCATGCTGAGGGGAAAGGGAGAGTTTCCAAGCTGAGCCATGCTGGCTCAGGAATTCTGGGAGTTGAAGTCCATGAGTCATAAAAGAGCCAAGGTTACCTACCTCTGGCCTGGGCCTAGGCCGCTTTATGACTCGTGGACTTCAACTCCCAGAATTCCTGAGCCACCATGGCTCGGCTTGGAAACCTCTCCCTTTTCCCGCATGACTGGCTCAGGAATTCTGGGAGTTGAAGTCCACAAAAGAGCCAAGGTTGCCTATGCCTGGCCTAAACCATTGCTCCTAAACTTATATGACACAATTAATGTTGCACATTTCTTGTCATTTTCTTATCCCTATCACTTATCTGTTTCTTTTTAAGTTCCTATAATGGTCAAGTGAATTGTAGGACAAAACAGCAAGTTTCCTAAATTCTTAGGAATTTGTTTTCTAAATTCTTGGTATTTTGCAGAAACCTGGAATCAAAACCAGGAGATAAGGCAGACTTCCAGAAACCAGGAAATAACTGACACTTAATTCCTTTTTAAAGGAATGATTTGGTTGAGTTGCCCCTTAGAATGGAGTCATAGAGCGGAATCTTAGAATTGATTCTTTGGAAGTGTCAAAATAATTTCTTTTATATCAAATTAATTCCATTTCTGCAGTATCTTAGACTTTCCCTTAACCATTAACACAATCCACAATTGACCAAGGATAAAAACAACAGTTGAAGCAAAGATAAATACATTTTTGCAGAAGATTACTAAATGGTGTCTCCACTAAATAACTGACAGCCAAACTGAAACTGATTAAATCAAGTAAAAATAGCAAACAGGGAAATCCTTTGCTCAAACATCCTTGAACTCACAAATGACTTACCCAGACTTAACCCACACATCAAAGGAGAGTTTGCAAATACAGTAAAGTTAATTAAACTATCTTTCCCCACACTGAAGTTCATTGAATTAGACAGCACATAAGGCACATACACACCCATATCTTACACCCCCACAAAGACTACCTTCCCTATATATGTTTCTAGCTCTGACCCCCATGTGTAGCTACCTTTCAAGAGTAGGTTTCTTACTCTTGAAAATAAACTACCTCCTTTCCATACAGTGTGTTTGATATTCTTCTAGTGCAGGGGTAGGCAACCTTGGCTCTTTTAGGACTCGTGGACTTCAACTCTCAGAATTCCTGAGCCAGCATGGCTCAGCTTGGAAGCCTCTCCCTGTCCCCTCAAGCATTTTTTGTGGAGATCTAGACAAAATGTTAAAGTGCGTCACATAACAGTAAAGAACTACATTGTCACGCTATAGATTTCCCAGTTGTGATATGCAAATATGATGGCTAGACTATCAGAAAGGCTAAATTAAAAAAGGATGCCTTTGAACTGCAATGCTTGAAAAAATGTTGAGAATACCTTGAAGTGTAGGAACAGCACACGATTCACTGCTAGATGAAGGAAAACCGGGTAGGTCATTCAAAGCCCTAATAATGAAGGGAAAATGTAAATACTTGGGACACAAACTGCAAAGGCAAATTTTATTACTTGCTTCAAAAACAATAAAAAAGAGGCCCCTGGCATCAAAGTGGTTAAACACTGTTACTGGTAACAAGCAAAAAACTTATAAGACTCAAAGAAGCAAAATTATCAGCCAGTTCTGGTGAAATGATATCCATAGAGTTGGAAGTTACTGAACAAACAGCAAAGACACATTTGTAGAAATCACACCATCCATGACTGCTAAGCCAATAGTTATTTACGACTTCATAGATCTCAGGAAGCAGAGCTTAAATCAACTGCTGGGAAGCTACAGTGAAACAGGTCCATCATCTTCCTTCTTGTGCTTGTAAGCTTCCTGAACACATCTGGTGGGCTTTGAATTTTATGAATGTATCTAACTGACTATACAGTATGGGCTAGATCAGGGGTAGGCAACCTTGGCTCTTTTATGACTCGTGGACTTCAACTCCCAGAATTCCTGAGCCAGCCACGCTGAGGGGAAAGGGAAAGTTTCCAAGCTGAGCCATGTTGGCTCAGGAATTCTGGGAGTTGAAGTCCACCAGTCATAAAAGAGCCAAGGTTGCCTACCCCTGGGCTAGATGGATTCATGGCCTAATCCATCAGAGCTGGTGTCAGCCCCACAAATAGACCATACCCAGAAATCAAGTCCAAAGGAAGGCTAAAACTATTTATATTGAGATAATAACAGAATTTTACAAATCTGATTGTGCTATATGACTTTACCTATCTTATATTCCATTGAATCAGGGAGCCATTTTGTATACTGTCTTATTCTTCTGGACTTATCAAGTGTTTCAACCCCTTTTCTCTAGGTAATAGTTCTTGCATATTTTTGAGAAGTTCATCTTCCTTAGTCTCTATGATTACTCCTTCAGTTCCTACACATTTTTATAGCGATAACAATGACATTTACTGTATTCTGAAGCGAATTAAACCGATCATTTAAAACGCAGGAACAAGCAGGTATCTCACCTTCTGTATGCACACATTTTTAATGTTACTGTGCAATTACAAGGATTTAAAGCCAGCAAAGAATCACAATAACCTGTAATGAATAGTCACAGGGAAGCATTCTACAAAGATCTTGCTACTTAAGTCTGGAATCTTAATGCTTGTTCCATTTGGATCTTGGAAGGCTGTCCAGGGGTCTCCGGTAGGTTAAAGATTTCTGCCAATGTCTCTCTCCTCATGAGAATTGATAATTAGATTTTTCTTCTGAGGACATGGTCATAGATAACCACTTGCAGGTAGAGGTCTGTTTTGATCGGAACCCGTGTTGTGTTATCTCCGGGAAATGCCTAAGAACCAAATATTAGCCATCATCAGAAAGAGTGGAGGTGAACAAATTATATCAATCACTGCAACCTGTATGGAAGGTATAATTATGTTCTCATACAAAGTGAACTAAAAACTAGCAAATCGCATTATAGTATCATGCAAATCTGGTTCATATAACCATGTAAGTAGATCACACAGTGTACTGTACAAACTTAAAAACTGAGTAGAGAACATGGGTTAGTATGTCATGCAAGCACAGCCCTTCTTAAATTAGATGACCCTAGAATTCATTGCAATCTTAGATAATCTTTCCGACTCAAAGTAGTCATTTTGGCAAATCTTGTGGGAGAATCCATCATGAAAAATCTTTGCAGACTTCAAGAAGCCAAGTTTTTGTTTATGATATCTCGTGCATGCATGATGTATCTTTCTAGGAATATTCTGCTTGTCAGAAGTGCAGCTGACAAAGACAGTCAAGATGGTCAGCATTTGTCCATGCAGACCTTGCTTGATCCTTGATTGATATCCTTTGTCCCTCACAACCATTTGAGAAATGTACAATTTCCCATAACTGATATACCTCAGGAGATACATTTGTGTTCAATCATTTCCATGCACACCACACAGAAGAGATCAACAATGTAATGCCTGTGTCTTTCAAGGGTCCAGATTCTTTGGGGCTTTAATGCTTAAAGTATATATTTCACACAGCAAGAGAAGATCTGCTTATTCATTACAGATGTTCCACAGCTGCTGGAACATAGACCAGTGACCCATTTTGAGTGCAACCAAATCCACTTTTTAGGTATGCATTTTTAAACGTCTCGCAAACCAATGCGCTCATTTTGAATGCTTATAATTTGATATTTTGTACCGAGGCTATTCATATGCAACCATCTTTCGTGGGAAGCACTTCAAAGAAACTATCATCCGAGAATTGTTTCTGCACAAACCCAAACAAATTACTGCCTGGCTTACTCTGGGTTGGTTTGGTTTGAGAGGAACCAAAGCATGGGTGTGTTTGTCATATTCAAACTCTGCTTAAGGACTTTTTAAAAGAGGGCGGTGAAGAACAACTGGATATGCTCCAATTACAAGACAGAGTCATTGTTCATTAAAGGGAAAACTCCATTCCTTGAAAGCGAGCAAAGAAACAACTCACAAATGGGTAGACCTCAAATCAGCCTAGCATGTCCCATTTTATTGGAAAAGTAGGCTTTTGCTTAGTAGACCCACTGTAAAACATTAGTATGTAGACTATGTCATCCCTGATTGAGTTGGTTGCTTTATTGTTTTGTTGTGGAGGAGAAAATGGTCCAAGCGCCATTTATGTACATAAAGGAGTAACCTCATATTGGCCACAATCTCTTGCAATGTTATCTCCTTTAGGAGAAAAATAAGGTGACCAACCATCCTCCTTTAGGGAGGACAGTCCTCCTTTTGTAAGTTCTGTCCTCCCTCAAAAAGTGTCCTCCTACATGTCCTCCTTTTCGATATTTGAAGACTAATCTGCAGGGCTTTTTTTCCCCCCTCATAGAACACTCAGAACGGCGTTCCGGCACCTTTTTTTGATGGTTTTTTTTTCAACTTTTGCATGAGCTGTGCTTCTCCCCCTATTGGCTTTCAAAAGCCAATAGGAATTGCTGCTGAGCGCGCCAAAACACCTGGCCAGCAAACTTTGCACATGTAAGTTGTCTGTATTATTGTTGCAATGAATAAAATGTTTATTTTATTTACGATATTTTTTTTCTTCAATTTATTTGTGTCCTCCTTTTCATTGTAAAAAAGTTGGTCACCTTAAGAAAAATCATTGCTCAGCAGAAGGTCTTATGTTTTTCATAAAGAAGGCCCAAGTTTGATTCCCCACCTCTTTCAGGTAATAGGACAAGGCCAATATTGCTGCGTAAGGACCTCTTACCGTTGTTAATCTGGAAAATAATATGAAAGCAAGAGGGGAAGTCACTGCCATACAAGCTAAACAATATGGGCCTAAGTCGACCCATAGTTTGACCTGGAAGAAAGTAGTTTTCCAGAGCTGGTTCTGCCAATAGGCAGAAGCAGACAAATCAGCCAATTACAGGAGCCGGTGAGAGAAAGCATCTGGGTTCTAGCATGATTCTCCTTGAGTTGGAGAGCAGAGAAGAGATGGTTTGGAGCTTGTTTCAAGCTCTCTCCACTAGTCCACTCTTCCTAGATTGGATGGAGTGGCTATTTTGTTCCCTCAAGTCAGCCTAACCTCTTGGAGGCAAATCTGAGGTTAAAACTGTGGCAAAAGAAAGGCTGGTATCTAACATAATCTCACTTTCAGTGCTTAAGACTAGGCTAAATTATAGAGGCTAATTACACCGGACAGTAAATGACTCGTTTCCAGTGTCATGTGAAAGCAGATGTGTTTTTAATTAGAAATGCAGTGTGTGGGAAAAGTTTTCATTGGAACCCAAGTGTTTGAGATGGATCCTGTCCAATCTAAACATCCTTGAACTATGGCTTTAAATCAGAGACAAGGGCATGCCTTATCGCATGTAGCATTTGTTTCATTTGCATACAAGATGCTTTTAATTTTCGAGTGCATATAAGCATGCAGACATATAAATGAATTAAAACAATAAAGACACCCTCAGATTAAGCTTGACTCCGGATAGCTGCATCCAGGCTTCTCTAACTCATCTCAACAGCTGCATCTATCAAGCAAATGAAAGGGGGTTTAGCAGTCCCATAGAACAGCAAAACCATCATCACAATTATTAAACAATAATAGTAATGCAGATAAAGTCCCAATCCATAGCACTCATCCCCCATTCCACGACACACACACACTGATAGCGTTCAGCATCTTACTCTCCAAAGGCTGTGCAGAATAAATAAGGGTTTACTAATTTTCCTAATTTTCTAATCACTAATTTTTCTAAGTACTAATTTTACCAAGATGGAGGGTACTGCTTTTCTTTCAGGCACTAAACTAGTCCACCAAAGGGGCCTCCAACAATGAATTTTCACTCTGAGCTTTTTCTCATTGTATTTCAGGGATTTGGGGAGGGGACTTTTGAGTGCGTCTTCCCCAAATACACATTTGGGCAGGCAGATTTGATTTGATATATATTCTGCCTTTATTATTTTTCACAAATAACATAGAAAACATATCCTACATATTTTCCTCCTTCAACAACAACAATCCCATAAGGTGAGCTGGGCTGAGAAACAGTGATTGGCCCAAAGTCACCCAGCCAGCTTTCATGGCTAAGGTGGGACTAGGACTCACAGTTCTAGCCTGGTGCTTAACCACTAGACCAGGGGTAGGCAACCTTGGCTCTTTTATGACTGGTTCAGGAATTCTGGGAGTCGAAGTCCATGAGTCATAAAAGAGCCAAGGTTGCCTACCCCTGCACTAGACCAAATTGGTCCCAAATATAAGATTCAAATACATATAGGTAGTCCTCAACTTATGACCACAACTGAGACCAATATTTCTGTTGTTAAACTGACTTTTGCTCCATTTTACGACTTTTCCTGCCACAGTTGTTAAGTGAATCACTGCGGTTGTTAAATTAGTAACACAGTTGTTAAGTGAATCTGGCTTCCCCATTGACTTTGCTTGTCAGAAGGCACATAAGATGATCGCATGACCCTGGGACACAGCAACGGTCATAAATATGAGTCAGTTGCCAAGCGTCTGAATTTTGATCATGTGATCTTGGGGATGCTGCAATGGTTGTAGGTGTAAAAAACGGTCATAAGTCCCTTTTTTCAGTGCCGTTGTAACTTTGGGTCACTAAATGAAGTGTTGTAAGTCAAGGACTACCTCTTATATGGATTCAGAGGATTTTAAAAATTAATATACAATTGGGACCAGAAGTCTTCCTTTTGGAATGGATAGACAAATAGTTGGGAAAAAATCATGGAACTTTGTTTTTGTAGATGATAACCGCAGCAAGATTTTTGTATGCACGAAGATGGAAAGATCTGGCAATACCTACAAAGGAGGAATGGTTGGTGAAAATGATAGAACTTGCTGATTTGTTTGATTAGATCAGTGGTGGCGAATCTATGGCACGTGTGCCAGACGCGGCACTCAGAGCCCTCTCTGTGGGCACGCGCACCATGCCCTGGAGATGGCAACCATCCCTCTTCAACCAGCTGCCCGCTAACTTGCTGAGGTTCCACGTAGTTGGATGCATCCCAGCATGGCTGGTTTCCCTTCTCCCTGTCCCATCCCTCCTGGCCTCGCATGTGCTCCTTTTCCCGGGCACAACCCACTGCATCGCCTCCTCAGCTGTCAGCTGGCCGTCCAGCTCAGAGGCGGCTTCTCTGAAATGCTGGTGGCGGACTGCGGAGCCCCAGAGTGTGCTGGTTGAGGGGCCTTCATGCGCTCGCTGGCCTCTGTGTGCAGGGGCCGATGGTGTCAGGCAGCAGCCGCCCCGGCCCCTGCCTCACCTTGCCCTGCGACAATGGCACCCCCACCCTATCTCGCCTTGCCTCACCTCACCCTGAAGGACGAGCCTTCTGCCCACCTGCCAGAGACCCCCTGGATTTCCCCCAACCCTGCCCGGCCCCCACAGGCATCCTCCCCACGAGCAACATCGAGGTGACCACGCCCACCTTGGCCACACCCAAGCAGTCTGCCATGACCACAGCCACGCCCACCCAGTGGGCCACACCCACCTGGCACCCGGCGATAAATAAGTGAGTTTTGGGTTGCAGTTTGGCCACTAAAAGGTTCGCCATCACTGGATTAGATAAAAGGCAATAGGCACATTGATGGCTGACTGGAAACCCTTTATGGACTTTTTGCATAAAACAGGTAAAAATGAATGTATGATTCACGGTTTTGATGATGAGATAGGATATATATCATACAAAGAAGACAGTCGTGTTGCAAATTTAGAAAAAGAGGTGAATTTATAATTGTACTTATATCTGCTAAAAAGACGATAAGAGGCGAGTTTTGTGTATCTCTTTTTTCTTTTCTTTTTTTTACTTTTTTCCTTTCTTGCACTTTTAACTCTCTTTCTTTTTTTCTTTT